TTGTATATTGGAATGCATATGATACTTTAATTTTATTAACATTTAGCAATTCACAAGAGAGCTTTCTTTATTACGAAAAGATTGCCTTCACGTGAAAGGCTAGAATAAAATTAATGTGATGAAAATTCTTTCAAAAATATTTGTTGTTATACAAAATTATACAAAATAATTTTGTGTTTAAAGTACATTATTCTTTCAAATAATAAAAAGAATGCTTTCCATAAATTGCCAAATTTGAATAGAATTAAAAGTTAGACATAAATATAAACATATGAATATAAGTAAAACAATACATATTATAAATAAATCATTTAAGAAATTATTATATTGTAATAAATCATCCAAAATGATAAATTGTAGTGTAAAGTGACTTTTATCCCTTTTATCTTATACTATTACTATAAATTACAGTGCATCTGTAACTGCTGTTTTTGAACTAGAAGATGGCAATGGAAAGAGCTTTATGCGTTCTGTACAGGGATCTTCCTCGGAGCACAGAATAAATAATAATGTAGGTTCTACATATGTTTAAAATGCAAATGTAATTTTAAACTTATTTAAGAAAAAACACATGATTTTCATGCACATTTTACAGGTTGTTACCAGTCAAGTATATCTCAATGAACTAGAGCAACTAGGCATTAATGTCAAAGCAAAAAATTTTCTGGTATTTCAAGGAGCTGTTGAATCAATTGCTATGAAAAATCCAAAAGAACGTACTGCACTTTTTGAAGAAATTAGTAATTCTGGAGCGTTAAAAGCAGAATATGAGAGGTAATTTTTGTACATATTAACACACATACACACAAAATTTCTTATGACAAGGTTTTATTCTGTACTAATAAAAATGCATACAATTAATATGTTTTTACTTATGCAAATTTTAGTATTTGAAAATAATATGTTAAATGAGAAGACAAAGTACAGCCTAATTTTCATATTAGATAATATACAATTTCTTACCTAAATTTTTACTAGAATTTCATAGAAATAGTTATTCTATACTGAACTGCTAATCAACAAGTGTTAAGCAAATTCATTTCATAATGTATATATAATATATTCTGAACAATTATTAGTATATTTTTTTGTATAAGGTGTATGAGATTCCTCATGTTACAGACTAAGGACAGAGATGCTAAAGGCAGAAGAGGAAACTCAATTTTCATACCAAAAAAAGAAAGGTATTGCTGCAGAAAGAAAAGAAGCAAAATTGGAAAAAGAAGAAGCTGAGAAATATCAACGTTTGAAGGAAGAATATGTATGTTTACTTGTTTATTGATTGCATATCAAACATTTGTAAATTTTTTTAGAAAATCACGAATTTAATTAACTCATAAAATTTAATACACAAGTATATATATCATCTAATGTGTGTGTGTGTGCAGATATATAAAAGCAATTGTATTATTTATTATAGGTAGAAAAACAAGTAGAGCTTCAACTATTTCGTTTATTTCATAATGAAAAGAGCACAGAGAATTTAGAAGTTTCACAGAAGAAGAAACAACATGAAATAGAAAAAATTGAAAAGAAAAAGGAAAAAGCAGAAGAATTATTAAAAGAAAAAAAGAAAGAAGCTGGAAAATTGGGAAGAGATCTTGCTAAAATAGAGCAAGATATTAGGGAAGTAGAAGTTGAGATAACAAAGAAAAGACCCACATTTATCAAAGCAAAAGAACGTGTTGCACACATGCAAAAAAAAGTAGAATCTGCTCGGAAATCTCTAGCACAGGCACGTATTGCAGATGAAGCTCATAAGAAAGATATAAATGAACTTCAAGAAGAATTGCGACAAGTAGAAGAAGCTAAAGCAGCTTATGAAGCAAGTATTGCTGGACAATCACAGTTACAAGGAAGAGATGTACAACTTGAAGATGAACAGGTAAAAACATAGATAAGATTTATATAATATATGTAATATCTTTCAAAGTAGTTCATTTCAAAGTAATGTTATAAATTTAATTTATAAAAATTATAAGTCTATAAAATTAATTTAAGGTTAGAGAATATAATCGCTTAAAAGAGGAAGCAGGCAAACAATCAGCAAGATACTTACAACTTCTTGATTCTATTAATCGTGAGCAAAAATCAGATCAAGATCGACTCGATAATGAAGGAAGAAAGAAAACTGATATAGAAAATAAACACAAACAGAAAGGTCATATGCGAGATGAAGCTCTCAAAAGAGTAGAAAAATTGGAAGAACACATAAGGACGTCGGAAGCTGCCTTAGAAGATCAAAAAAAATTGCGAGCTGACTTACAGTCTGATGTTGGTACATCAAAAGACAAAATACAAAATCTACAACGAGAATTAGAAAGTATTTCGGAACAATTGGGTGATGCAAAAGTTGATAAGCATGAAGTGTCAAGAACTAAAAAGAAAACTGAAATTGTAGAAAATTTTAAACGTTTGTTTCCTGGAGTAGTAAGTGATAAATTACATTTAGTATTTAATTTAATTTTTATAAATTATTATTTAACAAGTTCAACAATATGAACATTACGTAATTATTACTATTACTCCCTAGTATGATCGTATGTACAATATGTGTGAACCTATTCATAAGAGATATAATGTTGCAATTACAAAAGTTCTTGGTAAATATATGGAAGCTATTGTTGTTGATACTGAAAAAACAGCTAGACAATGTATTCAATATCTCAAAGAGCAATATCTTGAACCGGAAACATTTCTCCCTCTTGATTATATTCAAGCAAAACCTTTGAAAGAAAGACTTAGGTATGTAGTGTAAATTTCGTTAATTTTACAAATGAACTAATTTAATATGAAAGTGATTCTCTTAATATTTTTAAGAACAAGTCATCTATATTAAAAGTTTTATTTAATATTATTCATGATTAAAAAATATTCTTATATACTGTATTTTCTTGTTTTTCTTTCGTGTTATAAAAATTTTAATATTACACCACATAATCAAGTTTCTTTTTCCAGAAATATACAAGAACCTAAGAATGTAAAATTGTTATATGATGTGTTACACTTCTCACCTAAAGATATTGATAGAGCTGTATTATTTGCTACGAATAATGCACTTGTATGTGAAACTCCTGAAGATGCAAATAAAGTTGCTTATGAGATGGATAAGAAAGCAAGATATGATGTATGTATATAATACCTAATTTTTTAAAGTATTGTAATATGTATGTATATATAATATATGCATATAATTACAGTGTGTTGCCTTAGATGGAACATTTTACCAAAAAGCTGGAATTATATCTGGTGGTAGTTTGGACCTTGCAAAGAAAGCAAAGAGATGGGATGAGAAACAAATGTCTCAATTAAAAGCACAAAAAGTAAGACATTTTAATCTTACATAATGTGAATCTTAAGTCATATTTTTTGTTTAGTTACTACTAGAAAAAGGAACATATAGATATGTTCAATTAAAAATTGATATAGTTACACGTTATACGTGCACTGTTGCACTTACAGGAAAAATGCGGTTACAAGAAATTTATATAATCTTTACACCATTCAAAATTTCCCTCTGTCTTTTTTCCTAATTGTAACCAAACATGAAATGTGATTTACTGCAATTATGCGACTTATCATGTATGCAATGTACTTTATACATTATATTGTATTTAAGATTATATCGTATTAAAATTTAAATATTTTGTAGGAAAAATTAACCGAAGAATTGCGTGAATCTTTAAAAAAATCACGGAAAGAATCTGAATTAAACACGGTTGAATCTCAAATACGTGGATTAGAAACTCGTTTAAAGTATAATAAAAGCGATTTAGCTGCCACTGTAAGTAATACGAAATAAAATGTAACAGCAATGATAATAATACTTTACTATATTTTTTACGTAAGTATTTAGTTACTAAATTGTATTTATTACAGCAAAAACAAATTTCTGAACTTGAAACAGAATTAGATGGCCTTCAGAACGAATTAAATATGTTTGGTGTACGTATAGATATCTTGTTTATTACACTTCCATAAAAATGTCTACTAAATTGATACACTTTTTATATATAGCCAGCAATAGCTGCAATTGAAAAAACCATGGCTGAGCGAGACCAAGAAATACAAAACATTAAGGAGAAAATGAATAATGTCGAAGATGATGTATTTGCTAGTTTTTGTGAACAAATAGGTGTTTCTAATATTCGGCAATACGAAGAAAGGGAATTACGGTATGTATATTTAATTATGATATTAAACTATCTTTTGGTGTAGTATAAAAACTTTGTTATTATTTATGTTAATAGTTTTTGTATTATTAATTACATTATGACCATAATATACAAGATGAACGATTCAAATATAATAACGTTTTTAACGTTATCAAACATTTTCTAAAGAACAATTTAAGTCAAAATAAAGAATATTACAATAATAAAAAAACATTTCGAAGTTATTGTTCTCAAGAC